AAAAAAAAAAAACAACAACTAAGGAAAACTAAGACAAATGCTCCATTACAAGCATGAAGTAAACTTTGCTCTTTGTGGGTTTACTGCCCATCACGTTTCCGCTAAAGAAGAATAAATCATGAAGGGAAGGGTGAAACCCAGCCAGATCGAATAGAAGGCTGATTATGTCCTCCACAAAGGTGAGAGAGAGAGAGGGCGGGAGGGAGGGAGGGAGAGGGTGGGGGTTGAGGGAAGCAGGGAGGCTTGGGCACAAATCAATTCACCTGAGAGACGCATTATTGTCTTCGGTTTCAGGCTAGGAGGAGCTGAGCGCTATGAAAAATTAAAAGGATGCCAGTTAGTTTAAAGGATCGAGCCAGAAAACTCCACAGTGCACACACATGCAAACACACTCGGCAACAAAACACTGCGCAGACTGAAGAACAACTTGGAGTGCCCCAATTTTGTGCTCATACCTGTCCATATTTTGGGAAAAACATTTTAGACCCTGATCAGTCTTTGTGGTAAAAGTAAACGAATCCCTTGTATCTGTCTTTTAGAAAGAGCAACACACTTGTATGCACATTGTAGTATTCATGATTACAGTCAAAAAGTGTTACAGTAAAATAAAAAGTGTATTTTGATGGAGAACTTGAGATAGGTACAGTTAGTGGCACTCTTTACCACATTGCTGGGAACAACAGATCTAATGACGGGGAGGACCTTTGTGTTTGCAGGTTGTGTGTGTGTGTGTTTTTGCAGCTTATTCTTTTTTCTGACGCCTTTTGCGCAACATACCAGAAAGGAGCCATTCAGTGTCACCCTGTTGGGATAATGGCACCTTTTTCCATTGTTTTGTTTTGTTTTTTTGCAGTCCTTTGTTGCCGCGTCACTCCGTGCGTGACAGTAGCGACAACAAGACGAGGACGCATTGTAGCTTCTGTCCTCATCTGGCTGATCGCAACGCCTCATCTTCGCTTAACTTGTAGACAATCACCTCAGGCTTCTCCGAACTCCTCCGCCAACCTGTCTCCTGTCTAGTATTAATAGGGTCACTCACTATCTTCGTGCGCTAGCCAGCCACTGTGTCTGTGGTCCAGAGGCAGCCAAGCGGCCCTATCACTTACACTTCTCCATTTTCATTGTTGATATTTACTTCTGCAATTATCTCTCCACTTCACCCTCGGCTGAAGATGATATGCTGAAGTTAACGCTGTCGCTTCCCTCCTTCGCTCTCCTGTTGCTCACACATAAACGCAGTGACTGAAGGGCTAACCGACAGATGCACACACACGTACAAAGTAACTTAAATGCTGAACCGTGCGCGATTTCATTCACGATATAAGCCATGAAACTCCCAGAAGAGTGGTTTGTTTTTGCTGGAATTTTGGTGGAAAACATCTCAGTCTATCAGATGATCTTGTTTACTTTTAAGTAAACAAAGCGTCACTTTTAGGCTTCTGACATCTATTTTATTTCCCTATTTTCTTTTTTGGCTTTCAAGTGTGTGGCAGATCAAAGCCAGAGGAGCCATGGAGGCCTCACAGGACCTCAGCGAACAGATGGTGAGTTAAAGGCTACTGTATGTAAGTGTGTGTGGCTGAGCGAGTAAGTATACCTTGTATCGGCCACACAAGTGTGAGGAATGGGTGCATTAGAGACATACATTGTGTGTGTGTGTGTCCAGGCTAATACACAGCAGCTGTGTTTCAGTGAGCGTACAGTAACCATATGGCACCAGTCAGAGTGAATGAGACTTCAGGAGAAACAATGTTGGGCATAGATGTCAATTTAACAATCATGTGTGTGAATTTTGTGAGCCGAAGTGTGTAACGCAATTCAAATCGCTCATTAAATTGAAAAAGGAGGTAATTTTTATCTTTATCTTTTACATTTCAGTCACACACTGACACAGACACACAAACACACACGCACACACACACACTACACTTGAGCCCGAGGGTTTGTGAGCGTCCCAGGACAGCGGGCCATCTCTGCGTCACGTCAGCGCAGCGTCCCAGTTCTGCTTGTTTAAAGATCAGGCCGTATTGTTGGGAAAATGATTTTGGCGGCGAGCGAGGGCCACTCGCATTTCAAAGTCGTTAGTCAGCCACCAGAACAGGTGTAATTTCATCTTCTTCTCCTCCTCCATGAAGCAGCGTTCTCTCTCCCTCCCTCTCTCTGACCTGCCAGCCTCGACAGTAATAATAGCGCAAAGTGGGACAGAGCCCACGAAGTATGTTGTTTTTTTTTTCCCCCCCGACTTTTTGTGCTGCTCTGTTAGCCTCACTTCAGGTTGGATTACAGGCGGACCCCAGCGGAGTACATGTCACTCATACATAAAATGCACGCGCACACACGCACAGACACGCACACTAAAGAACACAAAAACACAGAAATAAAGAGAGAACAGAGAAAAACATCCATCTTGTCTTGCCGCTATCGCGACATCAAATATTGATGTACATATTCCACAGTTACTTCACCTACTTTAAATAGGGCAGTGATATCATCTATAAGTGAATTTGAGCTGCGGCTCAAAGACATTGATTAATTGTTCGTGTTGGAAATGAGATATCGGAGCAAGGACAGAGATTTTTATTAGTTCGATGGTTTTATAGGCTCAGATTTGTGACTTCTAAAATGTTCAGGCTCAGCATTTTCTGTAAAGGGGCCAAAGCTTACTTTGTAACTTGGACAATGGGAGAATTCAGGTGTGTTGGTATTTAGGAAACTCGGTATATGGTTTCCACATGTGGACATAGCTAAAATCAATACAGGTCAATATAATAGCCCTGCACTAATACTACTTTCAGTTATTGGAAAAATTGAGTGATATTTGGGGTCATTAGTTCCAGTTCTAACACCCGACAGTATGCTGTAACTGTACTTAAGGACTGAGACTGAATTACTATAAGGTCGCCACTGTTTTCAGACATATGGCTAAACTTTGAACTGCAGTCTAATTTCAAAGGTTTATCAAAAAGATAAAGAAAACTGCAGTTTCATCTGAAACTGTTAAAACAGCTGACATATGCCATTTTTTCCTTTTAAAAACGGTTCAAAATATGTCAACCTCAAATACATTCAACCTCTTTTTCAAGGCTTTAAATGGAAATTTAATTTGCAGCTTTGCTCGTATTGTTTCAGTCTGATTACAGCTGAACCTTTAAGCCTTTGATTCTAAGTATGAATGACAGCTTTAACATCTGACTGAACATTTTAAATTATAAACTTATCCTATACTTGTAAAAAAATTTTCAAGCTTTCCTTTTGGTTTTAGTCTTTAAACTGAAATTGGCTAATTCTTTCCCCGCACTCCTTCATTGAAATAGGCGTGTCTCGGGTGACTAAGAAAACAACTCAGACCTCACACACAAGGTTTCGGGGAGTTGTCTGTTGATATTTAATACCCCCACTCCTCCTCTTTACCCTTTAAAGTACCCTTACTTCCTCCACCCCGCCCTTTTCCCACCACATCCATCGCACGTCATCTGGGTTATGGTCAGGCGTCCTCTCTGGCCGCCTGCCTGTCGAGAGCCAGCCTGCCGTCTGGGGTCCTCTGGGAGCGCTGGAAAGGAGCCTGAGATGGCGCTCGCAATGGTTCGCTCCGAAGTGCTGCTTACAGCTTCTTGAGGTGTTTTGCTTCACCTGTTGTCGCATATTTTGTTTCGCTTTGGAGAAAAGCTGTTGTTTTTAGGTGATGCTCTGTGAGATGATGTCGACGAATACAACGATTTGTATTTGAATTCAGCTGTGAACATTAAGGAGATTGGATTGACAGATCAGCGTCAGTCATTCAGTGCACACACAGAAAACAGAAAACGCATGCAAACTCCACACACAGTCTCAAGAGCTCCTGATCCAACAGACCTCCGATTGAAGTCTCCAGTCTTTGGCTTGGTGGAGGTGGAAGCAGTGAGAGATGGGGGAGCAGGAGCATTTGTTGACCCCAGGGAGCTTTGCAGGATTTAAAATGTTGAGCCACCTGAAGGGGAAAAAAAGTAAGAGAGATGGAGAAGAAGGAAAAAGCGTCTGAAACATGAGGGGAAAGGGTTCTTTTAGCTTTAGCCTTTTCCTCTGGTGCACTGGGAGAGGCCCCTAGTATGGCAGCTGTCCTAGTGTGTGTGCATGTGCGTGAGACACAGAGCGAGAGACCAAGTAGGAGAAGGAAAGGGGTCAGGTTGCACCCCTCTTTCACCCCTACAACCCCATACAGACACATTCACACAAACTTACATGCAGCAGCAGTAGCTTAATATGACTACAGCCCAACCCTGATTGCTAAGATTGCACTGGCGTCATAGATGGCCGTTTCAAAATCTGCCCGGCAACGGGACAGATCACTGAAGTGTAGAGTGTAACAGCTACCCCACTGGCATCCCTCTGGTAGGCTGGCATCCTAGCTGGGGCACCGAGGGGCACTTCAATTTCAGCTTGGTGTACAGTGCTTCTCGTAAGATTTATGTGTAGCTGACAGCTGAGTGTTGCTGAGTGAGTCTTCTCTCTCTGTGCAAGAAACGCTGCAGATTATTTTGATCAGCACAGGAGAAGGCAGAGGAGTAGGGAGAGCAGGATATGAAATATGGCATGCACAATGTAGACAATAAATGCTAAATGATATTAAACTGCATGCAGTTGCAGAGAAACCGTGGCAAGAAAACCAAGCAAATGAGAGCAGATTTAGAAAATCATAGCATAATAGCAGGAGTTATGATAGTTTTAAGATTGCATGCAGAAGAATGCTCAGAATTTCAATATGTACATATATTTAATTAAAGGAATGCCTTTCAAGGACCGACAAACTCTGAGCCTCCATCCCAAAGTTTATATTAATGTAGTATTCAGGTTGACTAAACATTTTATTGTTAAAGCTACAAACTTTAGCATGAGCCCAATATGGTAAGTGCTTACAATTTTAGCGGGAAATGCTAGTTTTTGGCCAATGAGTTAAATTGGGCTTACCATGGCAACACCGTTTGATCTAAATGGTGCGTGTGGGGGGAAAAAATTCACTGAAAAGTGTGTTAAACAGTTGGACACATGTTTCATCTCTAAAGGACTTCTTTCCCCAGTCACTAAATCACCCATCAGCACCTGAACCGCTAAATAAGCTAAACCTGTTGTTGCACTGGTGCAACAATGGATAAGACTCACAACAGATTCCCAACAGCTCCACCCATGTGGCGATGCATAGTTGCGCGTTACTGTAATAAAGATGTAGGGAAGTGCACAGCACAGTGTTTTTCCTTGGCTTAGTGCATCCATAACATGAATCGTCCTGGTGCTGCACATTGTTATTATTTAAGATGCGTGAAACAACCAAAACATCTGTCTTTCGCCAAAAGCCCTTCAGTCCATGCTTTGGTACAGATAATTTATAACTCGTATATGAGAATAGAGTGAGAGTCTGTCTGGCCAGAGAAAGGCAGCTAGGTGTGAGGTCAGCGGGTCACAGACAGTCCCTGAGCCACTCAAAGCCTGACAGAGTCAAAGCCCCCAAAACAGACTGGAGAATCCATCTAGAAGCAAGAGCAAGTGGCGTGGGTTTTCTAGAAGAACACACCAGACAGGAAACCACATGATATGTGTGCTTTAGTGTCTGGTGTGTGAGAGTACGAGTGTGTAGGTGTTTCTTTCTCTGTTATACGCATATACTCTCTGTGGTGTGGGTTGGCTGAGGTCATCTGAGTGGAGACTGTCTAATACTGTGGCCATGCTTGTTTAATGGAAGTCAATCAGGGCTATGTATTTCTTGCCAAGACTCATCACTTTATTGATTACTCTGAGACTTCTCAAGAAAATCCCTATATTGCCAGATGTGACATTTTAACATAGTTGGTTATTATTTCTTTCTTTTCTTTTTTTTGTAACTGACGTGCTGAACTGATGCTTTGAATTTGCTCCGTAAAGTTAAAACACATTTAAAATGTAAAAGCATAACCCCAAGAAGAAGTCATTATTAAAATAGTAAAACATTTTCTTCTTTGTTTGCAGTAACTTCCATAAATAGAGCCGTCGATATAGCCCACCTTTTGTTCGGCCCCAACTTCTGGCTAATGCTCATCTGCCATTGGTTCCAAAAAGAGGAGCATATTTCCTCATTTTGCTGGGAAGGAAATGAAATTGCAACAATTGTGCTTTGGTAACGGAGGAACCTTCTGCCTCGCCTGCCGCAAGAACTTCCTCTGTTGCTCTGCTGGGAGATTGGATTTCTTTCTCTGCAGCAGCGCAGAATCAGAGAGGTGGGAGAGAGGGGTCGGCGAGGCTGTGACCTGTGTCTCTGTGCTGACTTGACTATTGCTACAACTAATGGCTGTTTTCATTATCTGCCACTTTGTTTCTTGTTTTAAGCAGAGATTAATGCCTTATATTATTAGTGTTCATAGTCATGAGCATGGCCAAGTCACATATTTTTAAAAATCCATTTAAAACCAAAAGATCTTCAGTTTTTCATCGAATCTGACAGTTTGGAATTGGAATTTTGCATTTGTGTGCAATTCATGCTTTCCTGTCTCTTAAGAGTATTCCTTCCTGAATACATTAAAATAATATTGATATTAAT